CCCCCCCCCCCCCAAAGCAAACAAAGAACACAACCAAAAAAACCCCTTCATTATTTCAGAACTAACCCAGGAGTCAAAACTAGTCTTTGAACTACTCTCCCTTGCTTCTGCTTTGCTGATGCAGGCTAGGATTAAAGTTGTGGCAAATCATATTTCTGTCATCTCCTCTCCGGGTGGAGAGGGTGATGCCAGACCTGGGAGAAAGGCACAGACTGAAGGCACAGAGAATGCTAGTGAGTAACCTGTGCTCCTGGACCTCAGGTAGTGCATCCCATGGTGGTGGATATGTTCTTCCTGCCTGTTATGCCCTCACTCTGGCTTGGCACTCAGAGCTCACTATCAGTGAATAATCACGATGTGATCTTACCTAGATATATAAAACCTGCATGGAAGGGAGGGCTGATTTTTTTGGATGGGTTGGGTTTTTTTGTGGTTTTGTTTTTAAATGGAGATATTTATTATTTTACTAAAATTGACATTACCAAGAAGCACCACAGCCCTCTTACAAATTCTGTTCAAACAGAATTCGTTATGCCACTGCTATTATTGCACACTTTCTGGGGATTAACTGACAAGTTCACCACAAAGCAGGAATGGGCCACTGTCCCAGTGACATGACAGTAACAGTAAGGAAACTGAGCAAATGAACCTGAAGAACTCAGGATTTCAGTAAAATCAAGATACACAGTGCAGGGAATTTTAACAGTGAATATCTTCTAAGACTGTTTTATATTACTGTCAATTAAATTGCTTGATAGGATTTCCTAAAAATTCTAGTTTTAAGATATTGTTTACAAGTATTTAATCGCATAAAGGCTTACAAGTGCACTTTTAAAAAAATTAAGATGTAAAGGGTTACATAACGGAGGAAAGCAATGAATATCTGTGGCATCATGGTGCTTTTTACACATAAAAAGATTGTTTGGGGGATTTGCTGCATACAGATGCCTGCTAAGCAATGATGCCAAAGCCCACCTACTTCCTTAATAAACAGATACATATATATATAAAATAAAAATTTAAACAGGATTTTGAAAACTGAATCTTTAATCCATCTAGCTGTTGAATTTAGCATGGAATAATGATCAAAATTTGGATTTGCACAAAACAAGTCCCTTGATTTAGTCTCCTGTTCTTTGGCCATCATCAGACAATCTTTTGCATATATACTTAAGAATGACTGAAGTAATTACTATGTAGGTATTTGTTATTACCTCAGTGCGGGAAAAAAAATAAATCTGTTCATTTAAGTGAGTCCTGTTATCTCTGACTATTCTGGGGGTACTTTTTGTCTCATTCGTAGAGAAAGCAATAAGGACCCCAGACAAAATCCTATCAGGTATTTCAAGTGTGGGACCATAATAGCTGACTGAAATAAGAACAGGTGGAGGTTTTCCAATGCTTTTACAGCTAGGTCCAGAGGAGAATGTCTGACTATGCCCTTAATCACATAATGGTGGTATCCAAAAGGACCCCAAATATGTATGCATCTTCGTGCATAACCTGTTTGGAGTTGCCTAATTTTGTTTGTCAGTAACTTTTTAGTTTCCATCTTACAAATATGAAACAGATATTTCAAGAAGTAACTATGTTTAATTTGATTTCTCTTCACATTAGAAGTTCATACTTAAAATATATTATTGAAAAACATTTATAAATGTTTCCACTACCTGTGAATAATATGCAATTTCCCAACAATAAAAATATAACAGAACTATGCATTACAATTAATTGTGGTTAGACTGCTTTTTTATTTCTCAGAAATACCTTTTGAAAACACTTCTGCAGTAGCCTCCAGGTTTTATTCAGAGGTGTGAATTCTGTTTTGTTGATGCATTTCCATATTTTGCTTCATATTTAATCATTTAATATTTTTTTTCACTTTAAGTGAATAACTGAAGCTTGTTTAATGTTTACAATACACTGCCGTAGAACTCAAATAATTTTACTGGTGTTCAACTTAAAGTTGTAATGTTATGATTCTTCACTTTCATTAATATTAATAGAATTGTAAAATGCATCAAATGATTTTTAAAATAAAATATTTTGGAAAAAAAAAAAAACAAAACAACTAATGAAGATTGCACCTGTCTTGGAATGCTCACTTTTGGGAAGTAATTGATAGGACAAAAGTAGATGTCAAGTTTGAAACTACAGTTTTAATTATACCCATCAATTAAAATCCACATGAAGTTCTAAAGCTAATTTTTAATATCACTTCTTTAACTTTACATTCAATTTGCAATGAATGCCAAAGAGTAATCATGCAAGCCCATAACCTCAGCTGGGGTAAATCAGCACAGGTTTACTGAAATCTGTAAATCTTACAGTTTTCACCAGCTAACAACCAACACGAGTATTGCAGAGGATGTGGTGTAGCAACAATACTTTATCTACACAGCCCTGGGCATTAACTTCTTACAGAAATCCAAGAAATCTATGACTTCTATGTACTACTGAAAATTTCTGACAATCCTGTTGTAGTTACAGGCACTAAATGTTCCTGCCAAGCTGATGAACTCCACCAGCATTGCTGGAGCGAGAAGTTGACTTTCCCACCTCCCAGGTTTTGCTTTGAAGTTGGCCTAAGCTGGCCCAAAAGTTGTGGTCATTTGAAAGTTGAAAAGAGGTGTTAGCGCTGCAAATCAGACATTATGGTAGCTTCTCACCATGTCCCATGCTTTTTAAGTAGCTGTCTTCCTAATCATCATCTAAAATAAAATTCCACCACATTCTGCAGTTGTGTACACAGTTTTGAGATGAGCACTGAAAGGTTAGAGGATGGACAAGTCTAGAGGACAAGCAGTCTTCCCATTCCCCAAACAATCTTTCTACAAACCGAGGGTACAGAAAACCTCATTAGATACACGGTAGACAAAGATTCACCCCCCTAAATTTTAGTGGATCTATTTTCACGTGTAAAGGCAGACAGACACTCCAGGTTTTGCCACAGTAGGGACCTAACAGGGATAGAGAGTGCTCCTGACACAGTGATACCAGTACCACTGCTAATGTAGCACTTTTCCAGTGAATAAATTGAAGATTCTCCACTTAGGAAAGGTTAATCTAGCACCTTTCACGCACACGGTACTCATTAATATGTATCTTGCATTTCTAAAACCCTGGCTTCAGCTAAAAAAAACCCCTCTTACGCATAGTTATTCATATTGCCTTCTGATAACTTCCTGGGGTCTTAACCATGAAGAAAATCACTGCATTGCATTAGTACATCCATAAATGGCAATAAGCCTTTTTAAATGTAAACACCCCTGTGGATTTGCACGTCTTTTGAGAGTAAATACGATGGGATAACATTGGAACCCAGCATATTTTTTATTAGTTTGTATAAACATATAATTTAGTTTTAATATTCTGTTCTTGTCATTATGATAATTTGGATCCAGTCCAACAAGGTGCCAATCTCAAATCTGCATCTAATCCTGTTGCCTTCACTGGGATTTAGCAAGAACCCAGGCAGCGTATGGAATGGCACTCTATGGGATAAGGGAGATTTAAGAACTGCATAGAAAGAGCTTGTGGTGGTACCTGTCTTAAGCATGCTACCTGAAGGTCACCATAAATCAGTGTACTATGGAAACTGACTTTAGACAGAAAATAAACAAAACTGCACTGAGTACTGTGGATATTTTAAAGTAGTCTTTTAGGATGAAAGTTTGCCTGTTGGTGTTGCTGTTATTGTGGATTTTACAGCTGAAACCTACTTTCAGCACGTGGAGGTTTTGACACTAGTATGACCATTCTTGATCCCAGGTAGAGGAGCAAGAAAGGGAGGGAAACATCCCACCGTCTTGTTGTTTACATTCCTGACAAGTGTGCTAAAGACACTGGAAAGGCACCATACTGCTAATGCTGCCATCTGAGCAATAAAACGTGCCAAATTCTAAAAAAAACTTCCCTTAGGGGAGCAACTGAAAGCTGTTTATAATAGACCAGAAACTCCTGTCTGAGATTTATCAGCAACTGTCACAGGTGAGAAGTGTTTACTAACAAAGCCAGAACAAGTGACAGAGAAGGTGATGACTCCTTCAGGATGCTCAGCCTTTGGAATAATTCATCTTCGAGCAAGCAGCCACAGCAAGGCCCAAACTGGAGCTTTCAGCAGGCCAGCCTGTGCACAGCAAAAGCACGCCCTTCCCTGGGCAGATCTAATCTAGTCTCATTGTATCTGCGGCTACTCCGAGGCAGGAGGGGAAATGAAAAATGAATCAAAGTGGGTCCAATTCTGACTTCCACAAGAGCACTGAGAGTTTCATTTCCCTGTCTTTGATTTGTTTGAAATCTTGGCTGATTGTCAGGCTTTCAGATAGATAATCATCTTAGCAACGGACGACTATACACACATTCTTGTTTCTTCCACGCAATCTTACGATTTCTTTAGCAATATGAATTACATGTATCTGGAGAGAAAGAGGCTGCACTCAGTAGTTTCAAAAGTAGGGGTTACTGACCTAAGCTATTCCTCTAAGGTGCACAGGCCCCTCGGAGTCACTCGCAACCTTGGATGACGTAGCAAGGACTTGTTCACAAGGTTGGTATGCTTCATCAGCACGGTGATGGGCCAGAAAAGATTCCCCCTCAACAGAGTAAGGTTAGGTGGGGACAGGGAAAAGAGGTAGAGGCAAACATCAAGTAATTTATCCCATCCATGAGAAGTAGCTCTTAGGCTAGCAGAGCATTCGGAAGGTCTTGGAAATCACTTTAATTGCATGAGGAAACCAGCAGCTTTTCCTACCTGAGGACTGATCTTGTGGTGTGTCAGTTGTACCACAGAACCAACAAAAATATTATTGTCCTATTCAACTTGAACTCTAGGAACTAAGTGGAAGTTGCAGTTGGCAACTAAAGAAGGACACTGAGAAGTTACTGAAAGAAGCCAGGAATATTTTGTTAGATAACTCATTATTTTATATTTTGACTGCTCAAGCAGTTGCTTTTTTTTAAAAATAAAGCGTTCATTCCAGGTTTGCTACAGTATATCACAATTTTTGAGATTCCAGGTAGTGTTTCTTTCAACTTCTGAAAGCATCTTTCAGGCCCTGACAAGTATCTTCCAGGAAAATTGACTCCAAGTGCACTTGTTTTCTTTAACAAAACACCTACTGCCATTTACAAGCAGACTTCTTGACCCAACAAAAGCATGAAGCAAGTATGAATTGCCATGCAGACCTCAGCCCCTCCTTTCTTTAGGACTCTCACAGCAATATGTAACGTTCTTATAGGTCTCATCACATATTTGCATCATTCTCGATAGAAAACAATCTTGTTTCCTCACCATGCCAACACACACTTCTCATTACAACTATTAACAGGTCTGTGAACAGGAGGAGAAGATCATTATCAAATTTGATGGTTCTCTAGCATTTTTGTTCTGCATCTCTCTTGTTAGCTGATACTTCATGCCAGGAGCAGTACATCACAAAGATGCACATCTTTTCTGTTCTGTGGCCCCACATTAAGTTTTCCTACTGAAGGTCTGTTATACTTATTAATCAAAAGTAGGCAAAAAGAAGATAGTATAAGGAAGACAGTATGTGACTAATACAAAAGGTGTTTCCAAAGAAACTGGTTTCTTATTTATCTTTTTCAGTTCTTGACATCATCATTAAACTTCTGCTTCTGTTGGAGCTTTTCTTGTGGCTTAGATCACAGGGCCTTAGCAAATGAAAATAATAACCCTTCTTTTCTCACCTACTGAATCCCCTTTTCTGACTGCAAGCTCTTTGGGAAATAGATGAACTTTACTGCATAGCTTTAGAAAGAACCAAAATTGCACTCTAATCTCAGTTGCTGTTTATGTGCTCTAGCTTAAGTAGTGCTTGATAAAAAAAAATTACCTGTATTTTTACAACTATATCTTTACAGTAGAGTCCTTAAGAACTTTCCCAGCAACGCTTACATTTAAAGGCTTAAAATAAAGTTCCATTGAAACTCCTCTAAGTACCTTGAGGTCACAATACACTGTGATAACCAGCAGTTTGCAAATGGTAGCCTGCAGCCATAACAAAAATCTTGCTTGATTTCTCTATTCAAGAGCTGGAAGACTAAAGCAATAAATATGCATTGTGCTTTCCTCTGTGGAAAAAAAAAAAACAACAAAAAAACAACAAAACAAACAAAACGAAACCAAACAACACAAGCAGGAACAGACAACAACATTTGGAGAAAATGCTGCTAAAACAGAGATAGGTTGCAGTCTGAGGGCACTCCCCTTAAGCTTCTACTGTGTAGTATCATTGTTTACAGGACTCCCATTTTGCTGAAATGTTTAGCATCCAATGGTCATTTGATGGACCACATCATATCAAATGATGTCCAAATGAACTTTTATCCTTTCTTCCATCTTCTCTCTCCCTGCACCATAAATGAAACCAGCTTCCATCATCCCTCCTTGATAAACTTATCACTTTCCCCTCCATGCTGTTTATGTTGCTTCTAGGATTTTCTTCTTCTTCTTTTTTTTTTTTTTAAGTTTAGGAGAGCTTTACAAAAGGAAGAGGCAAAGGAATAAAGACAGGCATCTGAGATAGCAATAAGAAAATGAGGTGGCAGCTGGAAAAAAATAATCACACGAATTAGGCAAGATTCATGGCTACTGAAAGACAATATGACTCCACTGATACCAATAACCTAAGAAATGTGTAAGTATGCATGTTTCTCTTATAATGCCATACACAGCGCCAGCACTTCTAAAAGAATCCCCTGACTTTCCACTAATACAGTGCAGTCCTATTTCTCTCATACTAGCAAATACATTTATATCTAAATCACAGAATTTATTACTTTATATTTCACTTTCTGACACATATTCATAGCTGGTTCCCACAGTTACTTCTTCCCTCACCAAAACAATATATTAATGCCCCCACAAGTGAATATCTAGAGAATTTATTATGAGGAAATGGTTAGACAAATACAAACCTCAGAGCAATTTAATCTCTGTATCAAAATACTTGCCATTTCAAATAAATTGAAAATGGAAAGCCTGATACAGATCTGGATTTGGAGTAGAACCAAAGAAAGTCAAAGTAGTTGTGCTCTACCAAACTAAAGTACTTAAGATTTCTTAATTCAAAGCTATAAAAAATTCCTTCCTGTGGGCACTGCAGAGAAGTAACTTTTTTATATTGCACTGAACAACCTGGACTTCTATCAAATCAGAGTCAGTTTTGGTCTTTTTGTTGTTAGGTTATTTTTTCCATATCAAATCAGAAAACCAATGCATTACAGGAAAGACAATATGTTGTAGCTTCAGTGAGACAGCAGATAGACTCAAAAATCTTACTTCAGAAGTGGAATGGAGTATTGATATCAGCAACCCCGAAGCAATATATCATTTACTCATTTTAGAAATGCTTGCAATTTCCAGTCTACCACAGAGTATAAAGTTTAATCTGCTAGGGCTGAGTTTAATACATAAATGAGGAAAAATACATTAATACAAGGTTTAAAACCTTAAACGTTTGTAGTTGAAATAGTTTTACCTTTATCAAAAAGCCCCAAAGCACAGTGTAGTTGAATGACTGTACACTGCAACTTTCTGAGAGACTTCCTCTGCTCCAGTAAGAGCAGTTTAAATTATCTTTTTTTTTTTTTTTTTTTTCCCCCAATGAGTCAGAAATTGTCCTTTCTATAGCCTGAGGCAGCCTTTACTGTTTTTCTGGGTGGTACAGCATTGTTATCAGTCTAGATATTACAGTGCCCAAATGCCACCTCATCTAATAGGGGAGATGTCGGGACTGTGAAGTTTGGGTTTATTTTTACTGTAACAAATTAGTCTGTTTCACACAAACGCAAATCCCAAAGCAGGGAGTCTTACAGCATGCAGGTAATTCAGTCTCACAGAAATCCCAGGTCAGCACAAAAGACTGGTATCAGTGGAGCCAGTCCCGCCTCACGCCTATGCTTTAATCAGTGACTAAGAGAGAAGGTGACTTCTCCTGCTGTTTGCACAGCTTCACCTCCAACTGCTGTGTCTCGGAACCTGAGCCATCAAAATAACTCAGTATCGCAAAAGTGGCAGGCAGCTCCCAGGGATGGGGTTCCTGTGCTGCCCAGCTGCCCGTGGCGCCTGCGAACGCCAGGCAGAGGCTGCAGCGGTGGGTGATGTGGCACGGGCACTGCACATCTACAAAGTCTTACTACGCAGACCTGCCCATTTTAGAGAAAACTGATGTCCATGTGACTTCTGACTGTTATAAACCAGTAGATTAATGTTAACTATAATAATTAGATAATATAACCCTATTTTCAAAGCTGGGCCAGCCACTGTTTTTGGAGATAGGTGCTTGATGCTTTTGCAAGTACTTAAAGCACTTTGAGGATTTGAGTCTTGGTGCAGATCCATAGAGCTCTTTTGGAAAGCAGTCAAACTGATGCTGAGCTCTCAGAATTGCCAGTGAGACCCAAGTTATTTTAAAAATTTGATTCCAGATGAAAAACTGGTTTTCCCTATGAGAAAACTCGATTGGCAAGCAAATGAAGAAAAAAATGTAGAGAGTACATGCATAGTACAAGAACATCCTCCTGTCTGTCTCCCCAGTCACTTTAAGAAAGCCTGAGCAATCTGGGACAACCTGATTTCTGAGGTAGCACAGCCTCATCCTCATCAAGGAGTCTGAATACAACAGTAACGATGTACATTCAGATAGACATTCTGGACTCTATCAGTTCAGTTCTTTGTGTTTCTTAGCTAGTGACAAAACTATTCAGCCATAAACTCAAAGCAGCAGATAACTTCTAGTTTTGCTATGATCTGTATTCTGTCACTCTTACATTGATTCTTCAGGTGTTACATCCTTACACAGCTGATACACCATACAGGTAAAAGTGGATTTACTGATGACAACAGTATACCATATTCGAGTTATACTGAAGCATTTCTGTGATGAAGAGTTCCCCATTCAATTAACACAACAGGTGTCATAGTGCTGCTGAACCTGTGTAAAGTTGGCAGAATCCAGCTGTGGTATGGCCTCTGCTCAGGACACTACAGAGAGTTGGGAAGGGCTGTTGCTGAGGGTGTAGCAGTTTATGCTAAGGGCTGAATACTGGATAATTTATGCTGCTACTTAAATGCAAGATGCTAGTGAGCTCTCATTCCCACAAAATCGTATGGTAGCCCGAGCATTTGAACCAGTCTCAGGCACAACTTCAAAATTCCAGCTGCTTTATTCTCTAGTATTTTTAATGTTTCCACATATGCTTATGTGTCAAGCACACACATTATTCTTGTTAAAAAGGTGCTTTATAAACCAGTTTCACTATTGCTACTGTTAAAAAGTATGAGTTGTAATTTCTTTCCTGAGGAGAATTTAACACACAAGAAAAGTACCATTTCCCTGCATGTGGCTTGAAAATTTATAAGGAATGACAAGCTTTTGTCTGTGTATCCTTACATTTACAACAATGTGATCCGTTGCTCAGTACGATTAGCACGTACCAGATCTACAGCCCTGACAGGGCTTCTTTGTTCACTTCTTAGAGGACATAAACCATCACTAACATGTGACTTATCATTCTTTATCTGAGTCCATTTCTGTGAAGTCACATTAATAGCCACCCTGTATAATATTCACCTAGCTACACAGATACAGGGGCTTTTCAGAGTCCCCCATGGTGCTGCATCTGACAGTCTAGAGGATGAGAAAAAATAAAAAACAAAATACAAAATATTGATCTATTTCTGTTCTTACTCTTGTGTGTGTGTGTGTGTGTGTATTTCTTGGTGTATATGGATATTTAAACCAGAATCATTACCTTTATATGCAAAGGAGTTAGTACTCTGAATTCAAATGAGAAAGCAAAATCCACTCCCATTTAATTTACTAGGTGATGAAATTGTATTGAATTATGTCAATTCCTCTTCCCTTCTTCATTTCAAATAACATGTTCTGTTTTAATAGGGTCAAAAATGGTCAAACAGATACAACTGGTACCCACTGCTAGGCAAATGGAGAGCAACAATGTGAGTGAGCTTGAGAGGTTAACTCTGGTTAACGATCTGGAGTAGAGCAGGGTAGAGGTGTCAGTATCTGTCCTACTTCTTAGCAATCATATAAACAGGATTTTGCCCACACTGAAGATGGCTATTCTTTGAGCAAATATAAACTTGCCACAGAAAATATAAATGTGGAAATGGGAACATGGAAATTTCCCAGTTATGCATGGAACAAGAAAACTTTTTTTTGCACACCTAAAAAGTGTTCAGCCTAGTAACTGATTTACAAAAAATGATCCTACTTATCTAGTTTAGGTGCAGAAACAATACCATCTGATTACAAAGCACAGAGGATTAACACTTATTGGCAATCAGGTGGAAGGATAGAATTCATTCTCACACTCTCTCAGTTAACAACAGTGAATAAGAAATACATCTGCAGAAAATCAAAGCCTGCATTGACAGGGTTCAGAAAAAATCTAATTTTATATAGACAAATAATTATAAGTAGCTGTTATTTTCAGCAATCTACAAAAGAACCAATACATTTTTAAACTATATTATTCAGCGTATCTCCTAAATCAGTAAAAATCTCACCTCAATCTGTAAGAACCTTTTGCTCATTGGCAGCATCTTTAAATGACTAGCAATCAAGAAGGTTGAGCTCCATTACAAATCTAGCCTTCTGGTTATGGATTTTTAATTATTCCCAATTATTCTTTCTCGTTTTTGATCCCTTATTACTTGTTTTTGCCAAAGAGGATCCCAATACAACAGACATTCAACTCAGCAGGAGTCAACCCATTAATGAAGTTCTGATCTGTAGCAGCTTCTTTCATTTGCCCTACAGACTATCAGGATCAAATCATAGCCAAATGATGTGGTAAAACAAATTATCTCACGAACAGCAGAAATTATAAAGTCTGGTTTCCAGATAGTTCCTACCCTTTTACCACCCCCACCGCATCTCCCCCAGTATCTCCCGTTTCCCCACAGCTCTATCACAGTGGCTCTGCCCTGCACATTCCCAGCCCCACTGGTATTACTCTCCAACAGCAGCTCCCTCTTGTCCGCAGGCCCTTCCCCTGCTATATTTTATGTCAAACCAGTCATCCTGCCATGCTGATAGCTCTGCCTTGTGCTATGCAAGCGAGTAGTTGCCTGTAGGGTTAGTGGTTATACAGCTGCTATAAACCCAGCTGAGAGCAATGGAGTATTCCCTATTTTTCTCTCACTAAGGGCTCTTTCCCATTTACCCAGCTTCCAATTTTAGCAGAATATATATGAACTTAACATCTTCCAGATCTCTCTGTGCTATCAGATTAGTTGGTATTTGCAAATTTGGTTGGAGTTTGCCAAAAAAAATCAAAAGCTGCTAGCAAAAAACTGACACAGAGACATGGACAGTGTCATCATGAGTAGTGTTTCCTTAAAAAAGCGAGACTAAATGTTCCTAGACGAAGGTTACAGTCTTATAAAATCACAGACCAGGTATGAATTACAGTGCACTGGCAGCCAAATCACTTATTTTCGAGAATAGGGTCATAAAATAAGAGTTCATTTGCTCACGAGAAGTAATACTGATGTACATTTGCAGGAGAGTGCGTAAAGCTCTCAAGGTTACTCAATCTGCAGTGAGGGGAGACTTGCTTCCAGCTCCCCGACAGCAGGTCACTGCAATCCCAAGCAAGCAATCACAGTTAAATAGCTAATCCTGTTTATTCTAGAGTTTAGCTTGAAACAGAACAGAAAATCTGAACTCCCTTGAATTTTGTACCTGGAAACGGAGCTGAACATTACGATGTAGGCATATGTCTTTGCAAGACTGAATTGCATTCTGAAACTGAAATGCTCGTTTTTAGTGGGAGTAATTTTCCTTTTATCTCCAAAGTTTACTTCCCCCTTCTGCTTTTGTAACAGGAAAAGAAAGTGAACTTTGCTCGCCAAGAGACCTCATGCAGAAAGTCAAACCATTGTCCTCTAGCTACACATTCAACAGATGTTTACAGCTGCAAGTTCCACTGGAGAAATAAACACACTGAGCACAATGTTGCCATCAGTTAAAATACCATGCTGTCTCTTCACAAGATAGACCGTGCATGGCTAAGCGTCAGAACATGTTCCCGGTACTCTTATTACGATATGACCAAATAGTCTTCACATTTTAATGATGTTATCTTCTAGAGCGATGATAATAATTTAATCTGCTTCAGTGGAGACAATAAAAATTCTTGTACTTTTACACATCTCCCTGCTGTCAATATTGGAATTTTTCCACATTTTTCTTTATGGAGAATGAGGAATCATTTACCAAACACAAAAAGCAACTAGCAAGATGAGATAAGCCCCAACTAAAAATTATATTAATATCCTTGCCTTTTCCTCCATGTCCTTCAAACAAAAACTCTTAAAAGTTAACAAACCGAATTCTCTTCCTGACAGAAACACCAAACAATGCCTGAAACACTGCCCACATCTGTGAAACTATATCTAATCAAATTCACGCCTGCGTTGGTTGCCTGGGTAACAATCAGACAGTCACTCATACGAACAAACTGCAAACAGCAGAAGGAAATGTGCTTTAAGTGGAAGCATCTACTTCTCAGAGCTTGAGCCTTGTTAATTTATAAAATAATCATATAATATGATCTTATTCACAAGGTAGTGGATGAATGAAGGGGGAATATTATGTACTGATTGGCTCGCTCATGAGCATAAGGAAGACGTGAAAGGTTGTGAGCAATTGAATTTAAAAGCACAGTTCCATTTTTATCATTCTTTCCTCTTCTTCTCTAAGAAGCACAGCATGGCATTTGGATGTAACTATATGCCACTGCATAAAAGGGTGATTCATTACTTGTTTTTCAGCACATGGTTTAAGTTATTGTCTACGTTTTTCCCTCACAGCACAGCTCTTAATTGATCTGCTTCGTTTTAGACTCCTCCTAATGATATACAGAAGAGATGGCTCTTCTGAATGTATATAGATGCAATAGGCATTGCAAAGGCCGTCGTTTCCACAGCAACAGGGACCATGTGGGAGCTCTGAGCCAAACTTCATCTTCACCCCATCCCTCCCCCCTTACATCTGACCACACAGGTTTCCTTCTTCACACTTACCACAGCCGCTTCCGGGAGAATCCAGCTACATTTGGGTGGGTGAATGTCCCTCATACAGTTAAATGGAGGAGTTGTATAGACAAGTATTGGCTCCAGGGCTTACACGATTTTCAAAGAATTCTAGTTTGTTGACCTCAAGCATTCAAAAATTAGGTTTTAAAAAGTAAGATTTACTTTTATAAAATCTTGAGACTTGAGTAATGAATATCTTTGCATGCAGTTTAATCTGACGATGGATATGAAACTTAAGCCTCTTTTCATACTGAGGTTGGCTTCAAAGTTAGATGGGTATTTATTGGTGTTATTGCTTTAAATTAATAAAATGTAAGCTTCTTACAAAATAACTCACACCCATGACAAAGAGGATCTCATATAAACAATCATTATTATAATATTCATACTAGCATGGTATAAATTAAGCATATTACAGTTCTGCTCTAACACTGTTTAAAAGGAAAAAAAAAAAAGAGAGAAAATAGCATTTTCAAAGTGATGCCCCTTATCGAGACCTGAATCACTTGCCTGCTAAAAGTAAATACTGCAGGGGAACATATTTTTACTGCAGATTCCCCACACTGCTATGTACAGCATAAAGCCCCAAAATAGTGTCTTACATCATGGGTTTCAAGTTGGTAGGTGTAACTGTAACACTGAAATCATCAGTAAAAATCAAATATAAATACATTATATGGAAGCTAAACTGACATACTGGTCACAGTAGCAGAGCTAACAGAAACAAAACTAGTGTGGGATGGTTACTCACATAGTCAGTGAATAAGCCTGTTGCAGTAGCAAGGATCAAATGCTGGCTCTTCTTCACAGTCAATTTTCCCACCAAGTTCACAGCTCTGTTTATTCTGGGGAGTTTGCTTTGCTCTTAAACAAGCAGTAGCCATGCACTACATAATGCTGCATTGTTTATATGGCACAGATTAACAAAAACCAGCTGTGAAGTAAATGCTTTCTTCCCAAATCTTTACACTTGTCACGTTTGCATGGCAGAGAGTAGATCTGGGGAAAAAAAAAAAAAAAAACCTCTGTGCATGGGTCTGCAGGCATGTGTGCATTTGTGCACCTCCTCGGTACAATCAGCTGGCAGGGAGATCCTAAATTGCTTAGACCCTGTTGTAATTCTAAGTCAAAGAGAGCTGTTGATCATATGGTGTTGAACTTTAACCAGAGGGACTTTATAAAAGGCTGATAAAGCTAAGGGAAAGCTTTCTGCTCCATCAAGAGCTCTGGATCGAGTCTGTGGCTGGGCTCTAGAGGAGAAGGGGAAATTCTGTCTCCTGGTGCTTCATCTTAAAATTACTTTTTTTTAAAAGATAATGTTATGCTTTTAATCAAGAGCAACTGTCTGACAGTCCCTCATCCTCTGCCTCCTTTTCAGACCACAGTCTACTTATGTGTACATTAAGCAGATTGTAAAATAGCATGCCAGGGTTGGAACAGGAGCAAGAAATGTCTCCTGCAGCTACTGCAAGCACTGGCCTCCAGCTACTGCAGTTCCAGCTTTGATCAAATGTCTTGAAACAGTTGACTTCTGTGGCTGATAGCTCATACGCTTTTCCATATCAAGTTAAATACTGAGGAAAGCATACAATATAAAGTCTGAACATGAACAAGCCAATAAGGAATACACCATAAACTCCGGAGTAGCCCACAAGTTCTCAGTGTTGGAGCTCCACCATATATGCCTCTGCTGACCTTACCTAGAGGATTTTGCTAGGTAAGATGAGGAAACTGTCATCTGTGCTTACTGAAATCAGTAACATACTGAAGCGTTACAATTTTTCTGGACTGCTTTTTGTTGTTTGTTTCTTCTTCAAACTCTGGAAAAATGTGGAAAATCTTCAATTTCATAAAAAATTTCCCTGTAGGCTTTTGCACATATATCAACCTGAAACAGATTACTTGGTTTTCAGCAATGAAAAATGAGATTTTTTCCCAGAGGTTTAGCAATACACTTAAACATTAAAGCTTATTGCAAAGCAAAACATTTTAATGTTTAGTGTAGTTTGTGGAACATTTTTTTTCCTGAGATACATATTTTTTATCCCTTCCCTGCTCCCATACCATGGCTTTCCAGCTCTAGGGAAAAAAAACAAACAGGTCATGATGATACTGGTAACTCTCTGGGAAAGCACCAGGAAAATGAAAAGATCTGTTGCTTTGTGTGACCTTTTCCTGAAAGGTCTGGGATTTTTTGTTCATGTACCTTTACTTATTGCTGAGGCATTTTATAGTCTTATCTGGGCATCCTTTTTCAACTAGTTTGAAACCAAATGGTTAAAATAAGTGAATGAGTGAGTGAACGAATGAAGATGACATTAACCTGGGAAGTCGAAACTGAGGCAACCGTATGTTGTACTCTGAAGGAGTACAGAAAGAAACAGATGGCAGCTGTTGATCCTAGAACCAGTCATTTTGTCTGAGGAGAAGAAAAAAAAATATCTCAACATACTAGTTCTAAAAGAAAGATACCTTGAGCAAACTGCCTTATGTAGGGAAATGTTTTAAAATAGAACAGGCATAAAGAGATAAAATACAATACACATAATTGATAAAGAGCATGCTATGTATGCATTTATTTTTGCTTTAAAAATAATATTTTTGTGAGTGAGTGTATTTGCACTTACAAAAAAGAACCCTGGAGCATTTAGCATCTATATTACTTTTTTTTTTTTTTTTTTTTTTTTTTTTTTAACCAGTGAACTCACTACTTGATGCAACAGCCTCTACAAAGACAAGGTTCTATGTCAGCAATTTGTTGCCCACTCCACCTGACATTAAATACGAAATTTAACCATCCAAGTCTACCACAGCCGTCAAAGCCACAAACCCACAGCCATAAATGTCTACTATAGTCACAACAGCTGAAAGTAGAACATCCTACAGAACACTTTCATAAAAGTAGAAAAGCATTATTTTTACTTTTCATCTCCTGCACATATGTCCTAGGGAGAACTCACAATCTGTGCTTCCCATTTCTGGAAACAATGCACTAAACTTTGTAAACACTGGTCTTATGCATCATTTAGGTATCCGTGGTTACATGGATGTAAAGAGCTCTTGAATTACATCCTGCCTGTTTGCTAATTCCTATGCCAGTGAGAGCTGCTGCAGTAGCAACTGGTTCTGGATCTGGTCTGAACCAGAGTCTACCATAGTTGACAAGAAGATGTCATTAAATTACAAATCTGAATATCTAAATAAATTAGGCAGCTGGTACAACCCCGGGTGGTCTCTGTTTATATGCAGGGTAAGCAAGAAAAGGGGAGAATAACAGGCTTTAACTAGCATAAGGCATTTTATAATTTCAAATCATGGAATCCACTGGAAAAAATGACACTTCTACCACATTGCAGTTCCATGAACACCAGTGACACTGTGGAGCCTAGCTCCATTGTAAAAGTCGTCCTAAGGCTACTCAGGTCAGTGGAGCTCTGCTGACTCCAGCAGATGCAGAGATGGTACCAGAAGGTTGGTTACTCCATGCTCCCTGCTAGTGAGGGCCGAGATGAGCTTCTCCACCCCCACAGTGAAGGCGAGGCTGAGAACATCCTCAGCTCTTTGTCAGGGAGCAGTTGGCTCCCAGCTGACAGAGCTGCCCAGAGGCTGAGTATCCTGCAATTCATAAGATACAAGCAGACTTACTACTGATGTCATCAAGAGGCAGGCATGTTTGCCTTGATGATTTTTATTTGGCAATGCTTGGTCTATGTGCCCTCAAAACAAATGGTCTCTCTCTGTTCCTGCCCCTCAGTTGTACTCTCTGCAGAATGACAGTTTTCTTACACCACTTCCAGCAAATAGTGCAGGATCTGCTTGAAAGTCAGAGCTAATGCTAGCATTAGCACATAGAACACAGAAACACAAAGCACACAGAAAGAAACAGGACAGAGCCCCCAGCACCTGGTTCTGAAAGATAACACAGATGTTAATTTTCTTCCCTTCCATCGAATTGTCTGTATGAACTCAGTGCAACAAGCTCTTTCCTGAACACATTCTGTGCCTTCTGCTAGACATTTCAGACCAGGCATTCCTGAGAAGTCATCACAGAACCTTAGAATGGTTTGGGTTGGAAGGGACCTTAAAGCTCATCTAGTTCCACCCCCCTGCCCTGGGCAGGGACACCTTCCACTAGCCCAGGTTGCCCAAAGCCCCGTCCAACCTGGCCTTGAACCCTGCCAGGGAGGGG